GAAGCATTCATTCAGCCCTTCCCCTCTTAGTCTTACTCCTTTCTCTTCACTTTTATTAGTATTATATCCTAGAAAAAGGTAAATTTTAAATATCTGGTTGTATATATTTGGTTTAAAAGAGAACAGAATCATTTCCTTCAAAACTGGTTACTCATTAGCTAAAATCAGTCTTGGAGCTTTCCAGGTTAAGCATCAGTGCCTGGCAGGCCCCTTTGCATGAACTGGGAATGCTGGTGGCATAGTGCCTAAGGCATTTGACTGCTAACCAGAAGGCTGGTGGTTCAAACCCATCAGCCACTCCTTGGAAGGAAGATTAGGCAATCTACTTCTATAGAGTTACTACCTCAGAAACTCAATGAGGGGTCACTATGAGTCAAATCAACTCAACAGCATTAAGTTTGGTTTGATTTGGTCTCCTTTGTGGGAATCCTCATGCAGTTGGGGGTGCTGACTGCAGACTGTCTTTAATGAGGGCTGATACAGTGTCACTCTTTTTCTCTGAGAAACGACCCCTCCTCACATTTAGCACTGGCTATTCTCTGCCATCACTTGCTACCTGGGTCCTGTTGCGGACCTCTTGCTACCGGGGACTCTCAAAGAGTCATCAGTGACTGGATGAAAAAGTGCTCACCCTACATTCTCTTCTTGTTGCCATGAGATAAGTATTAAACATGCATTTTGACTTGATTGATAAGTCTTTCAGGTTCCCATGTGGGAGGAGATAGTTTGATTTTTCTGGTGACTGCTTTTGAATAATAAAGACAGTAGAAAAACATGATTTTCTTGACATGGGCATATCAGAAATTTAGAACTTCTTGATTGGTTTTGGTTTTGGTTTTCTGGTGGGGAGGGAAAGAGAATGATTTGCTTATAGAAACAAGGTTGAAGCAGAGAGGAAGGGGTTTAGGGAGGGGACATCTGAGAAGCATTGAGGGTGGGGGAAGAGCAGTGGTCCTCTGTACCTTCTTCCACAAGCAGCTTTCCTACAGAGCTCCCCTCTCCTAGCTAGCATCTTGGTAGAGATTGTGAGTAAGAGAGCTGGCATTTGAAAGATGGAAGGCAGCTCCCTCAACACAGCTCAACCTTCTCTTCAACCCACGAGCAGAATGTAGATGCTCCATTACCTGGTCTGGCTCTCCTGAAGCATTAGTTCTCAATTTGTAAAGAGGGAACCAGGATTGTCTGCCTTGCGTGCTAGATGTTGTAATGTAATGTAATAATAGTAATTATTAGTGTTGATAGTGATCATTGCTGGTGGGAATAGTGATGTTATGATTAATTATTGGTGAGTGAGTGAGCAAGTGAGAGATCTTATTCCCTGAAGGCATAAAGCTCAGACATGTTTTTCTCCTGGGATTGGTGTAGAGTTTTTCTTTGAATAGTTCCCTGTACAATTTTTTTTTCCTCTGGTCGAATAATGGCTTTCTGCATTAACTTGTACTTGAAGTTAAGTGTGTGTGTGTTTGTGTGTGTGTTTGTGTGTACATGTATATGTACGTGTGTGTGATAATAATACAAAAGAAACTTGTAATTTCCTGTGATAAGAACACTTTTAGTAGGCACAGAGTGTCACAGAACTTTGAAAATCTGAGTCTGTATATTTAATGGGTGAGTGGTGTTAGGTAAGATGATTCCTCTATTTCCTTTGTGTTTTTGTCTCTGAGCCTATTGAACTCCTTTCTCTGATGCTAATGTGGGAAATTCCTGTGATGAAAATGTTCCTGTGTCTTGCCCTTCTCAGAAATGCTGAGCTTCAAATCGCTAGCACCTGGGAGGAGGAGGTTCTTGTGTAACTTAGTAATTGGTTACCTGGAAAACTGAGAGAGCTGTTGCTTTCGTCTGGATACTGTAGAGCTCAACATGTGATGACCAAGCTCACTGTCATTGGGAGCAGGGGCTGCACTGGGTGAGGGAATGGTGGCCATAGTGACCAATAGCAGGGTAAGCCCATTTTTAGGGAAGCTGTGTTTCTGGAAGGTTATCTAGAATTAGGATTTCTGCATATTGATGTCTATTTTTCCTTGAGTTTTGATGAACTTAAAGTTTCATGGAAAAGATCTTAGTGAATTGATTCCTGTGATCTAGATTAATATCTGCCCTGGACTTGGGAAGGGATAGTAGCAAGATGCCTGCCATTAACCTTGGCTTCTCTGAGTCTAGCTTTGGGATTCAGGGTTGTACAGTGATCATCAGCAAATTAGGTATGAACCAAGTGTATAGTTCCACCTAGGAACTAATGCTCAGTAAAAGGAGGCTGGAGGTGCTGGACAGGGTTTGAAACTGGTTCAGTCAATGCAAAAAGAGGTGAAACTGGAACAGACTCAAATTTGGTAAATGTGGGTGAACTGGAATCATAACTGGAATGGAAAAAATTACAGATTGATGCCCTGCTCATAACTTAATCTTCCTCTTAGAAAGCAAGGGCAGTGTGCATGTTGCATAGCAACCAAATCTCTTGATAGGTAGTCAGAAACACCAGGGCCCTGCTCAAAGATGGCTGCTAACCTTGCTGCTTTGAATGGTGTGTTGCTCTCCCCAGTCCTAGCAGTAATCTAGTCACCTGTACCAGGCTTGCAAAAGGGCTCCATTATGCCTCTTCCTAGTCTCCCATTCCACAGCTTCAACCTGTAAATTTGCCATTCCAGTTATTCCACTTCATCCAAAGGTAAAAATTTCAAGTCTGTTTCGATTTTGCTTTGTTGGCCTTGACTGAACCGGTTAGAGCTGGTTTGAAGCTCTGGTCTTGGCCAAGGTTTTTTTTTTTTTTAATGTGTTTTGGATAAAGTTTACAGAGCAAATTCATTTTCCATACAGCAGTTCGAACACACTTTGTATCATGACATTGACTGCAATTTTCTACAACGTAACAACTCTCTTCCCACTTCCTTCCCATAGTTACCTCTTCCCTGTCTCCTTCCCTCCCGTGCACTCCTTTCTGGAGAGCTGTCTCCTCTTGCATACACTGCCCTTGTGTTCTCCCATGATTGATCTCTCCAAAGAGTGTATCTATGTGATATTAATGTGCAGCTCCTATGCCTGTGTTTTATTTGGTTGGAAGCCACAAAAGTGAGTTCAATTTACTAGACTATGACAGCTAGGTGCCATAGTCTCAGGGGTTTCATCAGGCTCTATCAGACCAGCAAACCTGGTATTTTTTTTTTTATGATTTTGAGTTTTGTTCCACATTATTCTCCCACTCTGTCCAGGATTTCCTACACAGATCTACCTCTGAATGGTTGAGGATGACTGGGTTTTATGAGTAGCATGCAGTATCTTTTGAGTGGGGCCTGGGCCCAGGTGTTGAGGGGGCAGGAGGGTCCACAGAGGGGCTTGTATGGGCTTGGGGATAGGGAGACAGGGCCAGCCTGCCAGCACTGGAGGATCTCAGCAAAAAGGGATTTGAGCTCCTTAAGGGCCTTTGTGGCTTTTTAAGCATTTTTTGGTTTGGAAAGGTTTGGTTTCTAAGCTACCTTCAGTCCTTGTCTGCCTTCCTCTTGCTTCTCTGGCTAGGTGTGGCCCTGTGGCTGCTGGCACAGAGTGTAGCCTGTCTTTCTGAGACGACCTGCATGTATGATGGAGTGAGTACCCTTTCCAGGGTACAGATCTTCCCATGATCCATTTATGGTAGCCCTCCCAGCCCTCCTCACACCTGTTGGTTGCTTCTCACTGGGCATATTTCTGCTTGGAACTCCATCTCTACCTGGTAAACAGCTTTAGTCACTTGGCTCTGGTGTCCCAAGCCATGCAGTCAGAGTTCATCTCCCTTTTTCTCTCATGTCAACAGAACCTCTGAATTACTTCCTCTGGAGAATGGTTGTCTCACAGACTGTGCTTGTTTAAATAGTTGCTTTCACATTCTTCTTTTAGTGTGTATTATATGAACAATGCAAAAAAATTGAAAAATTTAAACAAGCAGAAAGGAAAAAATAAATATCCCAATTCTTGTTACCTGAACCCTATTAAAATTGTGTTGAATGTCCTTCCAAACTTTTTTCAATACAAACAGATCATACACATAGTTATTTCTAAAATGCTTAGATCATAAATGTGTAGCTTGATTATCACAAAGTAAATGAACCCATATCCCATGATCCAGATCAAAAAACAGAACATCACCAGCCCCCCTTGAAACCTTTCTCAGGCCCTCCCAGTCCGCATCCCCTCCTGCCTAAGAGATAGCCACCAGAGATTAGTTCCACATATTTTTGATATAAAAACAAAACCAAACTCACTGCCATCAAGTTGGATCTGACTCGTAGCAACCCTCTTGGGTTTCTGAGGCAGTACCACTATGGAAGTAGATTGCCCAGTATTCCTTCTGAGAAGTGGCAGGTGGGTTAGCAGTCAAGTGCCTTAGGCACTATGCCACCAGAACTCCCATTTTTGATATAGATATACATAGATACATATTTAACTTGCATGCATAGATAAATGAATAAAATTATATATATATATATATATATATATATATATATATGTTTGTACAAAAATGGATTCACACTATATGTCCTATTTTGTAACCTTTTTTTCAGTTGGCAGCATATGGTAACTGTATATTTATATCAGTAATAAGGTCTTCCTTACGTACTCTTAAATGATGGCACAAGGTATTCCATTATCTGTAGGGATTATTTGTTGGACATTAGGTGTCTCTATTTCATTTCAAATGATAAGTGTACTTTTATGTGCAGTAGTACTTCATCTTTCATTATTTCCTGGCAGTGGACCAGCAGGCCAGAGGGCGTGTCCTTTCTCCTGGCTCTTCACACAGCATGTGACCAAGGACTCTCTCCCTTCTTGGAGGCCTGCTGGCGGCTGTTCTATGGAATCGGCGCTGTGCTATGGCTTCTGAGCTTCCTTGCTGTGGGTACTCACGTGGGCTTCACTCGTAGAGGCCTAGGCCATGGCTCACTGTGCTGCCGCCTCTTCTTCAGAGCCACTGTTAGCCACCCTAGGCTCTGGACAGAGTACTAATCAGACTTTGTTTTATTTTCCAATAGCGTTGTGTGGTACTGCGTTTTCTGAAGTTTCATCCAAATAGGAATAAGGTAAGATTGGGGGATTTGCCACCCAAACATTAAAAATTATTTAAGAAAATTTTTGATTTTTTTCTGATGCATAAGATTAATGCTAGTTATAAAAACTTAAGTATGACAGAGAGTGATGTGTCCACCATTTCTTATTTAAAATGCTCGCTCTAGAGCTTAGACCTCTTGGCTTGTTGAGTGGCATGGCCACCTGTGAGGTCTCTGCAATATTGAATTGGGAAGAGCTGTCCTGCTCAAGTGTGTGGGGCCTGTTCAGAGCCCAGGCTAGTGGTCTGAACCCATAGGTCGGGCCTTAGCGTTGCTGTGGCAATGTGCCCTTGCTGCCTCAGTTTTCCCTATGGAATTGTGTCTATGAAAATAAAGCCTATGAAGCTGTGCTAGTCAGTCTATGCTACAAGTCACAATGGGAGGCCTCAATCAAATGGATTATTAAATTTCTTATTAGCTCGGTAATCCAAGCAAAATGCCATGGACCGTCTTCAAAAACCTGGTGCTGTTGTTTGGCAAACTGGCTTCAGTTCACATTCTCTGCTACAGTGCTACAGTGGTCTCTCTCCCCTCTGCCTTGTGGTGTGGCATGGGTGGAGACCAGTCACCCCATCCAGCATGTTGCTGTTGTGTTTGCATCTGTGTCTCTGGTTGTAATAACAGTAGATACCATGTATCTTTTTTATATACTTTTTATATATGTACCTTTGTTATATACTTGATTTCACATGGTCCTTTCATCACTCCTGTGAGGGAGGTCAGGATTTCCTCATTGTACAGCTGAACAAAAGGGAGCCTCAGAGAGGCCAGAACTTGCCCTAGCTTGTTTCTCTCATTAATGGTTGAGCTGGGATATGAGTCCATGTGGGGCTGACTCCAATGCACATTTTCTTATCTCAGAAACTAGAGCAGAAGCAGGAGATGTTGGCTACACCTGTGAACAGTTCATTGTAACACTGTGGTGAAGTGGCAGGGTGCTTCTTGCTTGAGAGGTGATAGTTATGTGGTGGAGTAGAAATTGGACGTATGATGAGTGATTTGACTTACTGGTGAGACATCTAGTCTGAGATGTATGAAGGACTGGAGGCTGGAGAGAGGGGATATAAAGGTGGGGCAGTTAGTTTGGGGAGATTGTGGCTGACCCCTTGGAAATCCCATTTCCAAGGGATTTGTGTTATAGAAAGAGAAATGGGAGACTCTGGGAGAGAGCTGGGTGTTCCATCTACTAGGGGCTGCAGTGGAGGATCTGGGCATAGAAGTCAGTTCAGAGAAACACACCACATGGAATGGATAACCTCTGTGTAGAAGAACAGAGGAGAAAAGGTGGTGGCTACCATGACAAATTGTATGAATCTTCAGTGTCTGTGCTCACCATAGGATCGGGTGCATCTTCTTGGCTAAGAAATCCAGCTCACTGAGGTGCTCGCAGGAGAGGCTTCTTTTCTTTGCCTCAGCCCCTGAAATAAAATGTGCTGAGAATTGTTCTGTTTCTGTATAAATACATCAGTGAGGAAACTAGAAATATTTGTTGGGTGCCGGTAGCCACTTCTCTCTTTTCCCTTGCATTTTGTGACTCGCTGATATCAATTCCCAATCCAACTCAAAACCAACCTTAGCTCAGTTGTAGGTTCTACATTTTGTGGATGCCACCATCACTTTTTTCTATTATTTTCATTTTCTATTCATTTTTTCTATTTTCATTTTTTTTCTGTTATTATAGGCAATGTCTTTCAAGGCAATAATTTGCTTTTATTTGTTATTTAAATAGCACATTGTCACATCAACTACATTATCAGTAGGAAATCATGTATAGCATTTCTTTTGTTGATAAGAAGGGGTTATTCCAACACCCTTCTCTATAAGAAGCTCTACTACCATAACCATGTGGAGCCACAGGGCATGTTTTAGGTCATTTTATCGGGTTAAGTTCTGATATGATTATATTGCACTTACAAAGCTATGCTTCTGGATGTGTGGACCCAGTTACATATGCAGAGGCAGTGCTAGGAGTTGGGGGCAGGAGCTTATGATGGTGCCACCCGGCGAGCTCAGCTTTGGGGCTTTACTGTGAGCAGGCCATATGTCAGGCGTCCAGAACCAGGGGACTGGCCCATGTACCCATCTGGTCTCCACCAGGCCTCCTGTGGTAGAACCTTTCTCTCCTTGTGAGAACTACAGTGGCTGTTTGGACTGCTCATCTTTGGGATACCTTTGGGACACGTTGAGTAAACCAGGGTGATTTCCTGTCTCACTGAATTTCACCAGTTTATTGACCCTTAAGAACCTCTGGCTGAGAGAAAAATAATTTATTCTAGATTTAAAGGCTAGAGGGTAACATCAAAATATCTGTTAACTCTTGGTGAGGTTAGGTTTTTAGAGTCAAATTGCTTGGAGGCATATGCAGAGCTGCTGTTAACTGCTGTTTTCTTATGGGAGAGGAAGGACACAAAAAGGTTACTTCTGAGAAAAAGCAGGACTCACTCCAGTTTCTCCATTGCAAACCTGGACAGGCAGGAACTGATGTGGTTCTCAAACTGGGGTGTTTGCAGAGTCAAGTGGGGACTCGATTCAAGGGATATTAGGAATGGGGCTCTGATTTGGAATGGTATGCTAAGACTGAGCCATAGGTGTTTTCATGAGCCCCTGGTAAGTCTCTCCTCCCCAGAATCTGAGGACTGCTACTGACTCAGTTTGCAGGCACATATTCTGTAGCCCTGCTAAGAGGTATATTCATTGTAATTTTGTCAAATGCTCACTTACAGGGGCTTTTCCCAAAGGTCCTGGTCACTTGAAGTGTTCCTGTGCTTGTCTCTTACAGGCCTCAAAAGAAATATTTCAGCACCTACAGAACATAGTAGACTTTAGCAAAAATGTCATGAAGGAGTTCTTTGGGGAGAACTATGTTCACTCTGGGGTAAGTGATTTTTATTTATACAGTCTAAATTCAGGGATAAATTCTATCTCAGTAGTGCCAACATCTGAATTACATTTTGGAAGTTTGCACTTAATAGTAATTGCTTCTATTAGTTGTAGAATTCAAAGTACTTTTCCCATTCTGTATAGTGAGGTATTCTGTATATGGGAGCTCTGGTAGCATAGTGGCTAAGACACTTGCCTGCTAACCAGAGGGCTGGTGGTTCAAACCCACCAGCCACTCCTCGGAAGGAAGGTCGGGCAATCCTACTTCCGTAGTGATACTGCCTCGGAAACCCAAGGAGGGGTCGCTATGAGTCGGGGCCGACTTGACGGCATATAACAACAACAACATAGTGAGGTAGGTAAAATAAACATTATTATTGCCATTTGCTAAGGGCGAAACACAAGGTTCAGAGAGGCTTTGTGAGCCCCAGCAGCATGCTTATCCTGTGATCCCTTGGGGGCATTTTGTGGGAACAGATTCTCTAGTGATAGTCTAGGTGACTTGTTGTTGTCAGCAGCAGTGAGCTCCCAACCTTGCATCTTGTGGACACCTTCAGAGCAACTTGGGGAGAAAAGTGTGAGGTTCACACTGGATGGGAGGTGAGACCCAGCCTTATGAGACGAATGCACCGGTGGCCCATGTGAGACTTGTGGTCTTCCTTTCTGCCTCCCTTCTGGTCTGTAGTGTGATAGGAGGGTTCATTTGTCTCCAGTATCCAAGAGAAGCACCTGTTGTAGTCCTAGTCATTACTAGGACACACAGGGAAAGGGGTGGGGGACAGCTTAGGAAGCTACAGTAGCTTCCTTCAAAGGAAATGTCATTGGTCTCCACCCTAGAGATGGCTTTGGTCTCCACTGCACTGTTTCTCCTAGCCTGGCTACTGATCTTAGATCAAATCCTCAACAGATTGATTCATAGATTATCATTTTGAACAGATGGAGAACTGCCTCTTCTGTGTAAATGCTGTATCTCAAGATGAACCTGAGAAAAACGGTACTAAGTAGCTAGAGTAAAAATGTCTTTGAAACTTAAAGATTACTAGGAAGTGTAGTATTTAAACAGCTGTTGCATCAAAATAGCCACCAAGGAAAGCCTATATAGCTTGAGGTAGACTGTCAGTGGGCATTAGCCCAGCTAGAGGGCGAACCCTGTCACCATACTGCCATAGCATGCCACATGCAGCCTGAGGGCCATGCCAGGTCCAGAACTGATGGCCGGGTTGAGTGTACTCATAATCTACAGTGTGAGGCAAAGGGCTTCAAACTTAGTAGCTTAAATGACAATACATGCTACCAAATGTCAGGAATTTAGGAGTGCCTTAGTTGGAGGTCTTTGCTTAGGATTGCTTGGGAGACTGCTGTTAAGATGTCACTTGTGGCTATAGCCATCTGAAGGCTCAGCTAGGGCTGAAGGCTCTGCTTCCCAGGTGGCTGGCTTGCTCATATAGTTGACAAGGCCATGACACTGTTGGTGGAAGCCTTGGTTTCCCTGTGTCCTCACAGTATGACAAGTGAGCCAGGTGAGAGCCTGGCAGGACCCACAATGACTTGGATGTCCCTTCCCTAGGAGTCATGACTGCCGTTTCTGTAGTATCCTGTTGACTACAAAGTCTGCCCTATGCAGTGGGGGTAGGGGCCAGATGGGGTGTGAGGGTGAGAGGCGAGGACCACTGGAGGCCATCATGGTGGCTGAGATCCCCAGCAACCCAATTCATATATAAATGCTAGAGGTTATGAAAGAAGACTGAAGTTCAGTGATTGTTAGAGCCTCTCTGAAGTACTCTCCTACTCCCATTACTTGGCTTCTATTCTATGAGCATGGGGCAGGCTCACCCAGGGCTGTGTGGGCAGCAGAGCAGCCCCACCACAGACTTCTTCTTCTGGGAAGGGTACTGGGGTCGGCCATCTGTCCTGTAGTTCTCCCCACCAACAGATTCTCAGGAGGCACATTCCCCTCATCCAGCCCTGCCCAAGGTGCCCTGATGAGGTTGGAGGATGTTTGAAGGGTACATGACCCCCTGAGTTTCTCCACAGGACTCAATCCCTGCACAGTGTCTTCCTCTATGAGGGTAGATGTGCACAGTTTTCCTCATTGACAGAGAGGCTATCCTCGTAGATGTCATGCTGGCCCAGGCCAGGCTATTGCCCACATTGGCATGTGCAAGCATTTCTCTGTCTAACAGTCAAGGGCTTCTTACACCCTCTGCCTGGAGTAGAAGTAGGGATTAGCCAGTGAACAAGGGTGGAAGTGGCAGTTGGCGGCAGGAGGAGTTGGGTAAATGGAATAAGTGTGGTGACTGCTCTGATGGAAAAGGAAGTGATATCAGGAGTGGCAGTAGCAAGGACTCAGCCATGAGTTCTTTGAGTCCAGACTGGTTTTATTTGTCTTGGGAACAAAAATAATCAAGATAAATGAAGACACAATAAACTGTTCTGAGGATATATGAGGGAAGTCTGCACAAGCAAATCAGGGGGCACAAGTTTCCATTGGCCTATATCCTCTGGATTAAGACACCTGCCAAAGTGAAACAGCCTGTTTTCTTCTTTTGGAGGGACATTTGGTCCTGAGAGGACACTAATTGGGATTCTGGCATAATTGAAATGCAGGGTACAGAGTACATTTCCTTATAAACTATGTTGCTCACATAGTAGAGTCATTCAGAGTTAACTTCTTTGACTATGTTATGGGGACACAGAACCCACAACAGACTACTTTCCAGGCAAAAACAAACTAAATAATGCTCTTTCTCTTGGTCACTGCAGGTCTTTTTTCCTAAAAGGAAAGAGGAACCTGACCTGAGCTAGACAGGGCAAAGCAGAGACTTACATAAGCATGTCTAGCCTCTGTTTTCTGGGACTATCTTGAGACAAGACAAAACCATCCCTTGTGATGAGAATTCTAGACAAAGATGGATGGCCTGATTGTGACTCCAATAGGAGACACATGGGACTCTAAGCTGGAGAACTTGGTTAATGGGAAAGCAGGGCACATTATACCTTTTTTCTCCTATTATTGCTTAAGTGCTGGAGAAGGGTACCAATTGATGTAATTTTAGAGATTTAGCTTTGGTGGGCCTCAAGCTCCTGTGTTTGGACCCATGAGATAGTCCTTGCTTTTGCACTGGTACTTCCAACTTGATACTGTTGAGCCGAGTGGTGGTGTGCGGGAAGGTGCTTATTCTCCCTGAGGGGCTTTTACAGTCACTGGAAACCTGCCCAACCCTTTCCAGGGAGCTCTTGGGGCTTTCCCTGAGGTGTAATGGCAGTCACTGGAAAAGCAAGTGCAACCATGTTTGTTTCTACGGAAAGCTGCATTTCCATAAAGGAAATGGTGTAGTTTTGTTTTTTATTCTATTCAACCTGAGTCTTTAACTATGATTCTTCTTACGTGAATGCTTATTGTGTGCTTAGTGGTGTTGGCCTCTTATCAGTGAGATGACAGTCCTCATGCTAATTTCTGAGTCTGAATAGGGTGGGAAAATAAAGGTAATCAGAGGTTAGAAAGGATGTATACCATAAACACTTTATTTTGACTTAAGGCATAAATATAAATAACTCATTTATAAAATCAGTAGTCTAAAGTTGTTTAGAAGAAATACGCTTATACTCCTATCATAATCTTGTTTGTTGGGCTGGGCAGTGTGTCTGGAACTGTTGGCTCTGGATTGGCTACATCTCCTCTTCCTCATGTTTCTGTTGTGGCACCCATGACTTCTGTGCCAGCCATAGCTTCATTTCCCTACAGTGTATGGGATTCAGGGTGACCATCCAATGGGGGAGACTCTTGTCACTGTGAGCTCACAGCCTTGCTCTCACTGGGTGGGTCGTTTTCTTTGAGGGAGGTTTTGATTGCAGTTCTTTATCTTTTTTACATACACAACAACCATTATTGATCATTTATGTGCTTTGTGCTTTTGGTTTCTTTGAAGTTCAGTGAGAACTTGAACTTTTGTGAGACTGTAAGATTAAAATTTTCAATTTTTTACAGTTACCCCTCTTTTTCATTGTTTCGCCTTACCAAACATAATACAAAATTTTAAATAACTCTCCTTTTTAAAATCTTTTATGCCCAAAGCATTCAAGTAGCTTTTTTGTTTTGTTTTGTTTTGTTTTTAAGTAACTTTTATTGTGGTGAAAACATATATAACAAGACATTCGCCACCATAATGACTTCCATATTTACAGGGATATTGACTGCATTTTTCATGTTGTGCCACCATTATTACTATTCTTTTCCTAAATAATCCACTACCTTCAGGTTCGTTTTTATATATTAATGTTTTATTCTGTTTATAGTATATTTTAGTAAAGGACAAAATTACAGGTTAAGCTGGCATAAACAGGCTGGAAACAAACACAACTGGCTGGCTGGACAGGTGGTGTCAGAAATGTGCAGGTGTCCTAGGCATGTGGGAGCCACAGGCAGCGGGTGGGGGGGAGGGGGCTTGTGTGTATGTATGGGGGCAGTGAGGCCAAGGTCTTGTGTATCAGGAAGGTGCTTTTAGCTGCAGCAGTAAATAGAAAACCCCAGTCAAGATGGACTTAAACCTAAAGACATCCATGGAGCCAGGGATGGAGGTTTTGGTTCTGTTGGTGTGAAGCTCAGCAGAGTCATACATGTCCTGTGTTTTTGTCACACCTCTGCTCCCCAACTCTGGGCTGATCCATCTTAAAGCTGGCAGCTGCTGTTTTTGTCCAGAAATGCAGTCCAGACATAACACTTCCCCTCCATTCCCCCACCTTGCCAAGACCCTCCATCACATCTCTTTGGTCATAACTGGACCATTCGTTCCCCCTAAAACCAATCCCCTGGACTAATCAGGATTGTCCATCACTCAGAGGGCTGTATGCCCAAATGAAATTGGGGTCCTGGATTGAAATTGAAATCCAAGAGTAAGGAGAGCATGGTGACTAGGTGGTGGTGTGTCTGTCCATTTGGCATTTAGAGTCTGCAATGTATGAAATGGTGAGAGTAATAGTGTCAGCAGAACCTGTCTAACTTCAGGAGGGATAATGACCAGGATCAGCCCAAAGCTGATGCCCATGAGGTGGAGGTTCAACATACTTGCACTCTCCAACCTTTTTTTTTTTAACCAATTCTAACACCAGCTGTTTGCCCAGTGGCATTCACTACTTTTCTGCTGGGTTTGATAATCCACTGCAGTGGCCACTCAAAATTCACAGACCATCCTTACGGTTAAGTGGTTTATTAAGGAAGTAGTGATACAACTGGGGATCAGGATCATCTGGCTATAACTCAGGATCAGAATCAGGAAGCATACAGGCAAAGTTTCCATTCTTCAGTGCAGGACAGCTCTCTCACCTCCTCTCTGACTTGTAAGCAAATAGGCTTCTCTTTGCTGTGCATGCCCTCTCAGCTCCTTGAGGACTGAATGGCATCTCTTGGCCTTGCCGTTTATCATCAGTGACTGTGCCTCAGGGACCCTTCTGGGCCTGTTGCTGTTGGCTTTACCCTGTGGGCCTGTCTCTTCCTTCAGTTGACCCACGTTACAGCTCTTTTAGGAGGTTCCTTACCTCCTCTCTTTCTCTCCTGTTTTTTTTTTTTTTTTTCTTCTGCTTCTTCCTGATGCTTCTCCTCCTGCTTCTTTCTTTTTCTAAAAACCTCTGTGGGACTGGCTGCTTAAATATACAAACTCCTTGTCAGTTTCAAGGCATGGTATTCCTACCAAGGCCACAAACTGATTAATCCCCTCTCAGTAGGCTACAAACACTCATGTTCCTGTTGTTGTTGTTATGTGCCGTCGAGTCTGCCCCGACTCATAACGACCCCTTCTTGGGTTTCCGAGGCAGTATCACTACAGAAGTAGGATTGCCCAACCTTCCTTCTGAGGAGTGGCTGGTGGGTTTGAACCACCAGCCTTCTGGTTAGTAGTCAAGTGCCTTAGGCACTATGCTACCAGAGCTCCTATTCATGTTCATAGTAGGCTACAACTCATCTCATTTGCGCAGTCTATTGATCAGTCCTTTCAATGTGCTTACCAATCACATGGTAAGCTACAGCCCATAACCAGACAAAAAGTAACAAAACCTAGTTGTTTACAGCTTACCCAAGAAATGGCAATCAACCTGGACAAAAGAAACCAAGTTAAAGAATGTTAATGCATTCTCCCCACAGGTTAACACGAGGCCAGGGAGCCTGAGTCCAATGTCTTTAAAATCAAACTCACTGCGTTTGAGTCTATTTCAGCTCACAGCAACCCTTATTGGATTTGTGAGGGTATAAATCTTTACAGAATTAGATTACTCCATCTTCCGTCTGCAGAGCAGCTGGTGGGTTTGAACTGCTGACTTTCTGGTTAGCAGCCAAGTGCCTTATCCACCATGCCACCAATGTTCTTAGACACTGATTGCTCTGAGCAAAGCCTTGGTTGAATAAACACCCAGTGTTGTGTGGAGGAGACATGAGCCAGCTGCATAAGGAAGCATTCTGTTTGAGTAAGACTGGGTGCTGCCAGCCACCTGTGGAAGGAGAGCCGCTTGCTGTTAGTGTATGGATACATTAGCTTCTTTGCTTAATCCGGATATGACCTTTAAAACCATAAGGTGACTTTTATTCCCCAAATCCACACACTGAATATTCAATATTTGTTCTTAACAGGAAGTTGTTCAGCTGCCTTTAGATTTTGTGAAACGGCTTTGTTTAAAGATACAGGCTGAAAGACCAGGTAAGGGGTTTTAAACTTATAAATTTGTTAATAATTTAAAATAGTGACTGGCACAATAGCACTAAGGAGAAGGAAAGCATGGAGAGGTGCACAAGATTGACAAACAACGGAGGTAAATACTACTATATAGTAATACTATTATATATATACACCATTACACAGTAATGTGCAATCCTGCATTATCAGTAATAACAAACATTAATCTATGAGTGGATACATAGGTAGACAGGCAATATGATCAGGAATGAGTAAGTGAACAGGACTATGGAAAAAAAAATAACTCACTGCCATCAAGGTGACTCCGACTCATAGCAACCCTCTGGCTTTCTGAGGCAGTAAATCTTTATGGAAGTAGATTGCCCAGTCTTCCTACCCATGACCGTATGTAGGTTTGTCAGATGATATTTCTACATACATATTTGTATGCGCTCTAAATGTGTCCATGTATGTAATAGAGCTAACAGGGAACAAAGTTACTAAAACTTCTTAGCCATAACCAAATATCTTGAGGGAATGAGTCGCTGGACCTACGGGCTCAGAACCATAGTCATGGGGGACATCAAAGTCAATTGGCATAACGTCCACAAAGACAGTGTTCTATTTTCTACTTTAGTGAATAGTGACTTGGGTCTTAAAAGCTTGTGAGCTTTGTCCAAAGCAAAGAAGAGTGAAGAAAATCAAAGACACATGGAAGCAATTATTCCAAGGGACTGGTGTACCCTTCCTGTGTACTTTTTGGTGCCTGGAATGTTAGGAACTGGATCAAAGACTTTTCATAGGCAGAGATTGATGACTTAGATGCAAGTCTTTTTAAGGATGGAAATGCCTTCTTAAGAAAGCACAGCCAGTTAATCAGGTGGTATAAATGGCTCATATAAGATTCTTTCCTGATTTGATTAACAAAAAGAAAGCAAAGAGGTCCCTGGGAGCCTCAGGTTGGAGAAGCAGTGTGGAGCAGGGCATCCTTGTGGGAAGGGGCTCAGGAAAAGAGGAGGCTGCTGCCCACAGCCAGACCAGGACATATCTTAGCTCTGATTTTCCTAATCTGATGAAGATAAGCTATAGATATGCTCTTGGGCCTTGCCATCCAGCAGCAAGTGCTACCTGACACTATCATTTTATTTTGTTGTTGTTAGTTGCCAGATCAGTTCAGACTCACAGTGACCCCACATGTGTAGAGTAGAACTGCTCTGTAGGGTTTTCAGAGCTCTGACCTTTCAAAACAGATTGCCATACCTATCTTCCGAGACGACACTGGGTGGATTTGAGCAGCCAGCCTTTTGGCTAGTAGTCTGGCTATGAGAGTGGCTGTAATAACAAATTGTAATGAGCCTTGCAATGTGAGGGAGCTCTGGTGGTGTAGTACCTAAGGCATTTGACTGCTAACCAGAAGGCTGGCGGTTCAAACCCACCAGCCACTCCTTGGAAGAAAGGTTGGACAATCTACTTCTGTAGGGATACTGCCTCAGAAACTCAAGGAACGGTCGCTATGAGTCAGATCTGACTCGATGGCAGTGAGTTTGGTTTGGTTTTGGTTGTTGTGTGAAAAGGAGGACAGGTGACTTTTGTCCACAGCACAGTTTCTAGCAGTCTGTGCTGAGGGAATGTTGCTGTTGGCTATTTGGAAGGAACCTTGGTTTAAGAGGAGTGTAGAGACTTTCTCTGGGTGCCTTGTTAGATCAGTAGTGTCCTGGGTTGCAGCCTTCTTCCTCTCCAAACTTCCTGAGCTAAGGAAGTTGCAAGTTGGGGGCAGTCCCCAATACTGTCCTCAATTTTGACAACCAGCTGCAAATTTAGGAATCACCAACACCACCCTCAGGTTTAATAATTGACTGGAAGTACTCAATAGTATTCAATGAGAACCATTATACTTGTGGTTACATATAATGACAGTGAAAAGACAGAGATTACGATCAGCCAATGGAAGAGATAACTGGAACATGGTCCATGACAGGCCCCTTTGTGGCACTCCCATTGTCCTCTCCCTGTGGAGCACTGACCCTTCTTGGAAATGACATAGGACACAGAGCATTGCCTAGTAGAGATGCTTCTCAAGCCGCATCATGTGGTTATGGCCACCTGCCCATGGGACTGACCTCAATCTCTAGCACCTCAGAGGCCAAGCCAATACCACATAGCCTACAGCTCCCATCTGATGTGGCTCAAAGCCCAGGTAAACAAGGGCACTCCTCTCAGGGCATTCCCAAGCCTTAGCCATCACCTCTCAAGAGCTGGGACCAAGGCCAGCTCCTCTGTTGATTGTTTACCACATGAGTCTTTAAGACACTGCAAATTTTCATCTTGTCTTTCCTGCACTGATTATCAGGTGGTCCCTGCTCTTTTTTCCAGAATCTCGCTGTGATAAGGACCTGGACACTTTCAGTGGTTACGCTATGTGCCTTCCTAATTTGACCAGACTTCAGACCTACCACTTTGTGGAGCACCGACCTATTCTGTGTGTAGAGATTAAGGTGACTTTGGTCAGGGGGGAAATGATGTGGGTAAAAAGGGAGAAGGCACATCCCTGGATTGTCTTTCAACAGTCTGAGCTTCGTCAGCCTTGTGCATGTTTTCCTCTAAAAGTCTGTTCTGCAGGCTCATGGTGTTGTGGCCACTCCCTATTACACCCAATAGCCCCTTCTCTAGCACAGGTGACTTCCAGTTCCCAGAAATGCTTCCTGCCCTTCCCTCCATATTTTCCTCAGGGTTCAACTCACTGGCTGCCCCTCCTAACCCTTCTTCCACTGCATGACTTCTTCCTGCTGTGTTCCCTTTGCCAGTGGGTGACACTGTATGCTTTGTTCCAGAAGCTTAGTTTGTGAGTCAGGCCATTAGACTGGGTGGCATTTAGTTTCTTTGCTTGTGTCCTGCTCAGGAGAGATTTCTCCAGAGGCACTAAAATCTATTTAACCCTTACAGGTTCTAGTTGCCATGGCTAGGAATCCTGAATCTGGGGTGACAAAAGACATTTATTGCATTCTACTTGGGTGTGAAGTTGGGGGGTGGGAGGATTTGGCAATGTCAAAAGCCTCCTTGCTTTACTTCTTTATTGCCCAGTATTGAGAATGGCAGCTCAGGTCTCCCCAGGAGCTCCTCCAAGATGTCTAAGATTATTGCTTTTTTCTTTCCACGCCTCCATGGCACCCACTTGTGAGTCACCCTTTGGCCCTGGGCACTCACTGATGATGCTCCGGTGAAGAAAAACATTCTGCCTTCCCACCCAGAGGATAAATATCTCCATGCTCCAGTGCCAAGACAGCCCTTGGCATAGTGCTTAGTGTGCATTTAATGGTAAAACCATAGCTTTCAAAAGGCAGGTCTGTGACCTTCTGGAAGCATATCAGATTGGCACATTCCAGTTTCACCTATCACTTGATAGAGGTAACAGTGGCCTGCTTCTTGGGACTCTGTGCAGAATTGCAGTTAGAGGGAATAGTGGTCTGCTTCTAGAAGCTGGGAGTTCTGGACAGAATCATACCCCTTAGAACATTTCAAGTTGAGTTCTGTCATGGAGATGTAAAGCTGCTATATTTTGTACCTTTGTTATGCTAGCAGTAGAGTTACCACATTTTTTACTCCAGACTGAGAGTTCTCCCCATGTATTCTCTAGAGGCAAAAAAAAATGTTTGTCTGATGTGACGAGAGAAGGAAGCATCAGTTCCCACTTGGAGCTAAAAGTAAAATTTTGGGGGACATTTATACCTAACCATTGCCAACCTTCTAGTTTGCATTTCTTTATCTAACAGTTTGTTGTATGCGTTTTGAAAGGTATATGATTTCTCTGTCTTAGTTACCCAGTGTGCTGGAACAGAAATATTACAAGTGGATGGCTTTGACGAACAGAAATTTATTTTCTCACAGTTGAGAAGTCTGCATGTAAATGCAAAATAAAACCACATAAAATTAAGACATTTCTCTTTCGTGTCCATCAGAGAGATATATCCTGTGCCCATCAGACTGAAACATTTAAAAGTCCAACTATACCGAAGGCTAAAGAGGAAGTAGGGCATCAAGCTTTCCTTTTGCTTTCGGTAGGACTGTTAATAAAACCACATGGAGAGCAACTGGGCAATGTGTAGTAAAAACTGAGGCTTCCCTGCAACCTGGAAATTCCTCCTCCTAGATGGGGCAATCTACTTCCGTAGTGATACTGCCTTGGAAACCCAAGGAGCGGTCACTATGAGTTGGGTCTGACTCAACGGCATATAACAAACAACAGTATGTATCCTATAGAAACTATCAACAGGAGAAATGGATGAAGAAGTTGCAATAAAAAGTTCTGCAACAAAACAGCTGCAATAAATGTACTTAATTCTCATTTATCGGCATAATGAATCTCAGAAGCAAAAGTTGTGTGAAAAAAGTTTCAGAAGAGTATGAATGGCTCATTTTCATAAAGAGTAAAATCCTGAACACTATCTGTCTTAGTTTCGTAGTGCTGCTGTAATAAGTGGATGACTTTAACAAACAGACTTTTATTTTCTCACAGTGTAGGGGGCCAGAAGTCTCAACTCAAGGCACTGGCTCTAGCGAAAGATTTTCTGCCTATCAACTCTGGAAGAAGGTCCTTGTCCCTTTTTAGCTTCTGCTCCTGGGTTGATCTTCATGTGGCTTGACATCTCTCTTCCTCCGTCTCTGGTTGCTTACTTGCTTGCTTGTTTAAACTCTTTTTTTATATCAGAAGAGATTGGCCTAGAGCACACCCTACACTGTTACTGCCTCATTAAAGTAACAAAGAAAACCCATTCCCAAATGGGATACAGCACATACTTTTGGAGACAAATGTAATATGCAACATTCCCTAAATAGTTTTCCTTCCTTATTTATTTACTTTGCAGCCAAAATGTGGATTTATTCCTTTCTCTAGTGATGTCACACATGAGATGAAGCATAAGGTGTGTCGTTACTGCATGCATCAGCACCTCAAGGTATGTGTGGAAAGTAGTTGGCCTGAAAGGCTTTCTGTGAAGGTGCTTCTGTCTGAGTGCATGGGTAGTGGGTGGAATACTGGACTTGAGGAGTAAAAATGAAAGTGTAGGTATTTATTATTTAGTTTTTATTTCACAAGTAGTTTATGTTCATCTTTTTTAAAAAATTGAGGTACGATTCAAGTCCATAAAATTTAACTTCTAAAAATGTACAACACAGTAGATTTTAGTGTTTTCATAATGTTGTATAAACATTGCCAGTATCTAATCCCAGAAAATTTTCATCACCACAGAAAGAAACCTCATACCCATTCACTGCCTGCACCTTATGGTCCATGATAATCACTAGCCTACTCTTTGTGTCTGTGGATTTGCTCATTCTGGACATTTCATATAAATGAAATCATATATGTGATCTTCAGTAACTGGCTTCTTCCACCTGACATAATGTTTTCAAGACTCATCCATGTTGTGGCATGTATCAGCACTTCATTTATTTTTATGCCAAATAATATCCATGCTGCTGGGAACATAAATATGCAACTACTTTGGAAAACAGTTTGGCAATTTCTCAAACTATGAAAAACAGAGTTATCATGTGACCTAGCAATCCCACTTGTAGGTATATGCACAAGAGAAAGTAATTTATGTCTATGTTTTCTTCTAAAAGAAATGAAATGTCCAGGCAAAAGCCTGCATACAAATGTTTATAGCAGCATTATTCACAAAAGCCAAGAAGTATGAAGAACCCAACTGTCCATCAATGGATGAATGGAAAAGCATTCAATCAAATACATTCAACATTCAAATACAATGGGATATTATTTTTTTTCTTTCAATTTTTATTATGATTTAGATGAAAGTTTACAGAGCAAATTCATTTTCCATACAGCAGTTCATACATATTTTGTTTCATGACATTGACTGCAATTCCCCACAATGTAATAACCCTCTTCACACCTCTTCCCTGTGTCCTTCCCTCCCGTGCACTCCTGCCACCCAAGCTGTCTTCCCTGTGCAAACACTACCCTTCTGTTCCCCCATGATTGGTCACTCCAGGGAGTGTATCTACCTGATGTAAATATTCACCCCATATGTCTGTCTGTTGTTTGGCTGGAAGTCATAGGCATGAGTTCAGTTCCAGACATGAAGGGTGAATAGGGGCCATACTCTCAGAGGTCTCACCAGTCTCTATCAGACCAACAAATCTCATATATTTTTTTATGATTTTGAGTTTTGTACCACACTGTTCTCCCACTCTCTCTAGGATCTCTTGCACTGATCCACCTCTGAGTGGTTGACAGTAGTAGCTGGGCACCATTGAGTTCTACTGTTCTCATGGTCATATAGGCTTAGGATAGCATGGTCTTCCAGCCCCTTGGACTAATTGTTTCCATGCATCTTTGGGTTTCTTCATTCTTCTTTGCTGTGGACGAGAAGAGACCCATTGTTGCATTTAGATGACTGATTGCAAGCTTTTAAGACCCTAGTTACTACTCACCAAAGTAGGATGTAGAACAGTGTTTCTGTGTAGTGTGTTATGGCAATTGATTTTAATGTCCCCCTGTAACCACAGTACCAAGCCCACAGGTCCAACTACTTGCTCCCTCTGGGTAGCTGGCTGTGGCCAAGAAGCCACCGCAACCTTGTCTCTTTTCAGCTCTATTATGCACCTGGAAATTCTTTTTATTTATTTATTTGTTTGTTTATTTATTTTTTTATTTATTGTGATTTGGGTGAAGATTTACAGAGCAAATTCACTTTCCATACAGCAGTTCACATATACTTTGTCTCATGTCATTGACCACAGTTTACCACAGTGCAACCACTCCCCTCCCATTTCCTCCTCATAGTTACCTCTTCCCAGTGACCATACTCTCCTGTGCCCTGAGCTGTCTCCTTGTGCATAAGCAGCCCTTCCTTCTCCCATGATTGTTCTCTCCATACACCTGGAAATTCTTACAGCTCATACAAATACACATGTACAAACATTGTCTGCTAACACTCTACATGCTCATGGGCACACTGCCCCTTACCTAGGTGGTAAATCTTTATGGAAGTCGATTACTACATTTTTCTTCTGTACAGTGGTGGGTGGGTTTGAACCACCAACCTTTGGGTTATAGTCAAATGCCTTAGGCATTTTGCTTCTAACACTCTAGGAGTTCTTCAGACACCCTAGTAGGTGTCAAATGGTATCTTCTTGTTTTGATTTGCATTTTCCTAATGACTAATTGAGATGACCATATTTTCATGTGTTTTTGGCCATTTGTATATTTTCTTTGGAGAAATGTTTATTCAGATTCTTTGCCCATTTTAAAATTAGGTTGTTTGTCTATTTGTTGTTGAGTTATAAGGGTTCCTTATATATTCTGGATTAAAAAAAAAAAAGTTGAGTCAATTCTGACTAATGGTGACTCCATATGTATCATAGTAGAACTGTTCTCCATGGAATTTTCAGTGGCTGATTTTTTTCATGTAGAGCACCAGACTTTTCTTCTGGGTGTCTTAGTTATCCAGTGCTGCTATAACAGAAATGTGACAAATGGATGACTTTAACAAAAAAATTTATTTTCTCACAGTTGAGGAGACTGGAAGTCTGAATTTAGGGTATTGAGTCTACAGGAAGGTTTCTTTCTTTTTTCGCTCTGGAGTAAGGTCCTTGTCTCTTTTTGAGCTTCTACTCTTGAGTAATCTTCATGGGATTTGGCATCTGTCTTCCCCCATCTTGCTTGCTTGCTTGTTTAATTTCTTTCATATCTTTTTACCTTACTTATTCAATCAGTATGCTGAAGAAATAATGCAAGAAGCTGTACTGTGTAAAGAAGAATGTGGCATCAGGATTGGAGGAAGATTCATTAACAAATTGATATGCAGATGACAAGCCATGCTTGTGAAAAATGAAGGTGACTTGAAGTACTTACTGATGAAGGTCAAAGACTATGACCTTCTGTATAGATGACACCTGAAAGTGGAGGAAACAAAAATCCTCCCAGCTGGATTGATAAGCAACATCATGATAAATGGAGAAAAAATTGAAATTATCACCTAATTCATTCTATTTGAATCTAATCAGTGTCCACAAGGAGACAGCATTGGGGGTGGGAGTGCATGGGAGGGAAGGACACAAAGAAGAGGTTAAGTACGGGGAGGAATTGGGAAGAGAGCCAGTTACATTGTGGGGAATTGCAGTCAATGTCATAAGACAAAATGTATGTGAACTACTGTATAGAAAATGAATTTGCTCTGTAAACTTTCACCCAAATCACAATAAAAATTTTAAAGTCTGTGTCCATGATAGCAGAAGTCAAGAAATCAAGTAATGTATTGTATTGAGCAAATCTGTGACAAAAGACTTCTTTAATGTTTTAAAAGCAAAGATGTCACTTTCATGGCTAAGGTGCACTAGAACTAAGCTATGGTCTTTTCAGTCACTTCATATGCATGTGAAAACTGGACAATGAAAAGGGAAGCCTGAAGACTTGATGCATTCAAATTGTGGTGTTGGCAAAGAATATTGAATATACTGCCCAAAGAACTAACAAAGCAATGTTAGAAATACAACCAGCATATTTCTTAGAAGTGAGGATTACAAGGCTTTGTCTCACTTTGGACATGTCATCAGGAAAGATCAACCCCTAGAGAGGATATCATGATTGGTAAAGTAGGTCAGTGAAAATGAGGGAAAACTTTAATGAGTTGGATTGACTTAATGGATTCAAACATACCAACAATCATGAAAATGGCACAAAATTGGGCAGTATTTAGTTCTGTTATATGTAAGGTTGCCATGAATTCAGGCCAACTCGATGGCAACTAAATGCAATAATTTCTTTATTGAGATACCTCTTTTTATCTCTTCATCTCTGTCATGACATTGTTCTCCTGGTTTCCTTTAGTTATTTGCCCTAGTGTCCTTTAGCTCTTTACATGTATTTTAAATTGTTCATTTAAAGTCTTTTTCTGTTAAGTCCTCCAGGCTCTATTTTAAACGCTGTTGCCCGAGATAGGCAGATCCAGAGGAGTTAGGAACAACCAAGGAAGATGAACTTGTCTTTCAGTTTGTCGCCCTGTGGTGGCTTTGTTGCTTTGAGGCTGAAGGCTATGTCACTGGTGTTGCAAAATGCCAACAGTGTTAGCCATGTTGGATAGGTTTCAGCAGAGCTTCCAGGCTAAGACAGTCTCGGAAGAAGGAAGGGGCCATTCACTTTTCAAAAAGTTGGCCAGTGAAAACCTTATGAATAGTAGTGAAATGCTGCCCGATGTATTACTGGAAAACTTTATGAATAGCCCTGAAACATTGTCCGATACAGTGCCGGAAGATGAGCCCATCAGGTTGGAAGGCACTCAAAATTTGACTGGGGAAGAGCTACCCCTCAGAGTAGAGATGACCTTAACGATATGGATAGAGTAAAGCTTTCAGAACCTCCATTGGGTGATGTGGCATGACTTAAAATGAGTAGAAACAGATGCAAACATCCATTAATAATTGGAACATGGAATACACAAAGCATGAATCTAGGAGAACTGGAAGTTGTCAAAAATGAAGTGGAACACGTAAAGATTATCCTAGGCATTAGTGAGCTGAAATGGCCTGGTTTTGGCCATTTTGAATCAGACAGCCATGTGATCTGCTGTGCCAGGAATGACGAAGGAGAATGGTGTGGCATTCATCATCACAAAGACTGTTTCAAGATCTGTCCTGAAGTACAGCACTGTCAGTGATAGAATAATATCCATACGCCTACGAGGAAGACCGGTTACTACTACTACTATTCAAATCTATGTACCAACCATGAAAACCAAAGATTAGGAAATTTCTACCAACTTCTGCAGTCTGAAATTGACCGAACATGCAATTAGGATGTGTTGATTATCACTGGTGACTGGAATGAAAAAGTTGAAAACAAAGAAAAGTTACCAGTAGTTGGAAAATATGGCCTTGATGATAGAAGTAATGCTGGAGATCACATGATAGAATTTTGCAAGACTGATAACTT